TTAAATGGAATATAAATCACTTCAATTTTCATCTAATTTTAAATTTTTTACTATTATAAATCACTTCAAACTTGAAAGAATGCTCTTTTCAGTTCTCTCTGTTTTATTTGCTGTCTCCAACTGCAACAACCCACAATATATACATTTGATTCCTCCCCCCTACAATTCATTCCCCACCCCACCACTCTTTTCAACGCCAAACCTTCCTCTCTCACACCAGCTCCGCCGTACACCGCCACTCAGCCACCATGAAAACTCAAACCATTACTAAATAGAGAAACAGCAGCTACAATGGGTTGTTGCGTTAGCACCACCAGCAAATCAGCAGCTCCAAATCCTTACACTTCTAAATCACCACCTCCATCACTAGAAGAAGAAACAGTCAAAGAAGTCCTTTCAGAAACTCCCACAATTCCAAAACAGACATCATCTATAATTCCGAAATTCCAAGAAAATCAGCAAAATAAAGTTCCATTTATAAAATCTTCACCATTATTGCCGGACTTTTCGGAGATTCCAGATGAAAAGAAGCATAATGATGGGGTTTTAAAGAAACCCTTCGTGGATTTCAACAATGATGAGGCGTCTGAAGAATTTTCTGAGATCTGCAGCACCATCAGCGAGAGTGTAAGCTTTTCAACGTCTGTTACGGAAAAGAGAGAGAACAATGAAAATGTGAACGCTTTCAGGCAAAGTGTACCGCCGAGATTCAAAAACCGGTCACTTTCCGGCGAGGTAACAAGGGAAAAAACGATGGGGAAGTCCCCAGGGAGGAGATCAGAGCCCTCTCCTGTCCGAGCTAGATCCGGACCGGTGACCCGAAGAAATAGTCCTTCCGTACCAGGAAGGAGGGAGTCGAGGGACAGCGGGGAGAGCTCCTGCCGGAGGTCTATGTCGCCGGTGACCCGTACGCATACTGGGCCAGATAAAACAGGACTGACCCAGAACCAATTGGTACGTAGGACCGGAAAGTCTCCAGGTCGGGTCGGGTCCGTGTTGAGTGAGAGAACCCTGAGGATGGATGAAGGTAATGAAATCGTAGACAGTAGCTGTACCGAAACTAAGTGGCCACCGACGAGTACTGAGTCACTTGAAAATCCACTTGTATCCTTGGAATGTTTTATATTTCTGTAATGGAATAGATGGTTAGGGATGTAAATTCTGCATATGCCATTGGCAATGTCGTTCCATGCTGTCCTTATTTTTCACTTTGAATAAAAGTTAAACTCGTCTACATATTTAGCTATTTTCAGGTATTTTTTATTAAAATAATATTACACGTAGTTAAAAAAAAATTCATGCATTTTTCATGAATTTACTATTTGAAAATACATTTACTCAACACCTCCCTTAACTTAGTTAAAAATTAAATTTTATCCCCCGTATGGCCCAATTATCTCAAAAAATTATTCTTTTATTTTATTTTCAAACACACAATCTTTCATAAAATAATATTAAACGTTAATAAAAAAAATTCATTTTTTTTCAATCACATATTTTTTTAAAAATTACTATTTAAAAAATTATAATTTGAAATACTGGGGACATAATAAACTTTATTAAAGTTGGTAAAATAATATATTTTGTAATTGAAAATGAAATTTAAAAAATGAGGGTCAACGTGGACTTAATTCCTTTTAACTGTTTCCATGTATAGTGGATTAAATAAAATGACAAAAAAATTTGGGTAATGACATAAATACATGGATATGATTGTACATAATTCACCTAATACATTTTTTGGCACCAATTATGGACTAGCAACTTAGATTATGGTGTGTTTGATGGATATTATTAAGAAAAAATGTATTTTAAATAGTGATATGATAGAAAATATATGGTTAAAAAGTAAGAACAAATTATTGATTTAATGAAAAATATTATTTTATTGAAAAATGTGTGTTTGAAAATGAGTTTTAAAAAATTGTATTTTGAAAGAATGTATATCAAAAATCAAACAAGAGCTTATTTGATTTTTAAAAAAAATTAAATTTTTTAAAATTTCGATAAAAATTAGTGAAATATGTATTTAAATAATAAATCGTAAATAAAAGTTGTGAATTAAATAAAATTTATGATTAAAATAAATTATCAACTTTAAGAATAAAATTTATAATCTTTCGTTATACTTGCATTGGCAAAAATGAAACCGAATTATACTATTTGTACATTGATTGTTTAACAACTTTTTTTGACATTCAATTATTTGTGAAAAAATCTGTATAATTGATTGTTTTAAGTATTGTTAAAATCAATGATCAAAATGTTGACCACCTCACACGCTGTCAGCTAAATTGTCAATCAAATTGTACCTGTTGTAAAATTGAACAATGGAAATAATTCAAAATACTTTATGTCGTTGCTCGAGCCTTGTATATTTTGAAGCAAAGTGGTTTTTCAACTTGGATTCATAATAAGAGATTTGAAGTTTAATGAAGTGGTCTGTTTTCATTGAATTAAACTACTTGTATAATGAATTTGCACAATGATTTTGACAATGTGTGACGTGTATAGATCATTGCCATTGAATTAAAAAATAATCTTTCAAATCAGTGGACATAATGTCTGCCAACTCACATTGTCAAACTTATTGTTAAATTCATTGTACAATCAAATCAATGGACATAATGCCTGTTAACTCAAACATTATCAAACTTATAGTCAAATTCATTGTACAGGCAGCATAGTTCATGTCAACAAAGATGTAAAGAAGAGTACACATGTAGCATGATTAATAACGTCTATTCAAATCAATGGTCAATTTTTTTGTACACCATGAGATATCAATCAAGATATCAAAAATGGATGTCAAAGTAGCTTTAAAGACTGAGGATCAATTTGCTACTATTTTATAAATTGAGGGCTAACACAGTAATTTCCGCTTTCCAATTAGAAAATTTTCAGTGGCTTGTCCTCTAGTGAGAATTCAGGATAGTGTCAATACAGACAATACTGCGTCAGTGGATTCGATTCTTTTGGATTGTATGTTTGTCCTTTTGTCTTTGTTCACAATCAAAATCTTGGAATTGAGTGGAAAGACAGGAATGGTACGAGAACTCAAAATTCAAAACTTTTGTATCTTTTTAGCACTTCAAAACAATTCTTTTTAATTTGTATAAAGACTTTTGTCCCATTCAAAGATTAAATTTTTGTTTCTTTATTGACTTAAGGAACCAAACAAAGTTAACAAAACAGCAAGGAAGAGACGATAATGGGCAATGTGTATATGCACATACTTTTGCCCATACACCTGATTAGTTATAGTGTTGAAAATTGGTGACGCTTTGACAGAATTTTAAACGCGACTCTTTTTTTTTTTTTGGAAGATCAAAGTAAATTCGTATACTTCTCTTCAAAATATTGAAATATATATTTTGTACAAAACGATACTTGAGTGAATGAGAAATTAAAATTCAAAATTACTCATCGTTAGTGATTCAGATGTTGAAGGGAAAACAATTGTAACTTGTCCCATATACAAATAATAGCAAGGCAATTATTAGCTTATATAGGGTCACGTTTTATGAAGGTGTAATCACCTTACAACAGTTGATCGTTGAGAGTTTCGCTTAATATCGGTGATTCGTTTTTTTTTTTTTTAACACGTGGACCTTTATTATGTGGATAGAAACTAATTTGAGCGTCAACAAACAATTTACAAACACGGGCTAAAGATCCAAGGACAAGGAAGTTTAGAGCATATATGGAAACAAAGTCATTTATTTTGATAGTAACATTTTGAATTAACCTCAAAGCTCCTTTCTTCAGCAAAAGTTGTTCTATGTTGTTAGAATAATCCTTTTTGTTTGTTCAGTAGTGAGGTGAGAACATTGTTACAACTTGAGGTTCCATCTTAAAAGATCAACTTTATTAAGAATAGTAGTTCAAACCTTTATAAATTAGCCTATATTTTCATATTTATTCGATGTGGAATTCTATCACTTAACATACCCCCCTCAAGATAGTAGCTCGTTTGAGCATACCAATCTTGAAATTTGTGTGCTCATTTTTTTGAGTCTTAATTGGATCAAATTGCTCATTGGAGCTTAATGGACTCTGATACCATGTTAAGATTTGAGATTTCATCTTAAAAGATCAACCTTACTAAGAGGAGTAGCTTAAACCTTCATAAATTGATCTATATTTTCATGTTAATTCGATATGGGATTCTTAACAAAAATCATAATTGTCGCTGGACTTGAGAGAGGCTCTACCTAACATTAAGTGTGCCTTTAGAAGTTTAATTTCCCAGCAATGATATTTGTAAGAACACTGCTACTATTACATAAAAAAATAAAAAAAATCTGTAAAAATAACAGCGCGCACACATGGGAGGTGGCCCCCATTTTTTATAATAATATTTTATTCACATGGGGCCCACCCCCTTGTGAGTATTCTGACATTTTTACAGATGAAATAGTTGTGTACAAGTGGTTTAATTGTATTTGTAAGCAGGACTGCTGGATTACTTTGCACTGGGCTCCAGACCATCTATTGTGAACAAGTGCATTTTGAAAGTGGACTCTTAAGATGGTTGGACCAAGGTCCATGTAGCACAGTTCGCAGTTTTGAGCTTGTAAATAGAAGGCCTAATGTGCAAGGGCCTCAATGTTTCTATCTATAGCCCAAAAAATGGACTCCAGCAAGCAATTCGATTGCAAATTAAAGACATTGATAAATATCCATCTAGTAATAATATTTTTGCACGGGTTCAATCGACCCCTTTTGACACCTCTAATTTGTATCGACTTATATCTTCAAACAGTGCAAACGAGCTATATATTTTAAACGCTTCGTTACATTTTACCAAAGCCCTCAAAAGATTATGCACAAATTCAAACAGCCTATGGAGGAAAAAATGCCTTACATCATGAGGTTCTAGATTTTTTGATTGTGCATCAATGAGTGTTGACTTTTGCTCAAATATTTGAACCTTGACTATTAAATAAGAGGGCTTGATGTCTCGTGCACCTGGCATCAACTCCTAACGTTCACTGCTCTCAGGCCGAGCTCGAATTCAGGCACAAAACGGGCAGTTGATGGGAAGGCCAAGGCTTGCGTTCAGGTGGACAAGGCACTGGAGCTGGCTGTGCAATAAAAGTCGGAATATTATCTCCGGGCATCACCACTGAAACTTCTTTGGCATTGACTAATATCTGAAAATATAAGATTTAGGCGAGCCATTTAGTTGGAGGGTCTAACATCATAAAACTAGGGAAAAAAGCGTATTAAAGAACAATATCAATCCGATGCTATGTTAACATATCGAAAGTTAAACAAGCTCTAAGCAAATATTTCGAAATATTTAGGATCCGACGTCAATTTCAGATAAAAGTGAATAGGCATCGATCATGCAAAGCAATTAGCTATATCATTTGAAAAATCTCGACTCATTGTTACACTATGGACTGTGGATCAGATGAGCAAATTCTGAAAGCATCAATCAGTCATTCATAGAGAATCCATTAACCTGCCTGTTCGATTATTAGAAATCGAACCTAAAATGTCCACCCCTAAGAACAGATCTATCTACTGAGACTCGTGCCACATTGCACCCAATGAGTCGGAACCTTGAATGTCGTAGTTTGTTAAGAAAGAAAATTTCATTGGCCTAAAAGCAGAACTATCCACTGACACTCGTACCAAAGACCACATAATATTGAACCAGAACCTTAAAAAGAGTCCTTTGTTGAGAAAGAGATTTCATTTGTTTATTCGATTATTATCATCTTCTGATAGAGAGGAAAAAAACAAAAGCCAAACCAATATTACACCTAAGAGGGAGTTAAATGTTTCATTAGCCACTGAACTTTCATACATGTCACGGTTAACTAACCCACCTTTAAAACTTATTCCACTGACCATTCAACTTAAAACTGTCCCAACACGTTACACCTTTAAAACTTATCCCACTGGCCACTCAACTTTAAACCATCCCACTATGTTGGCCACTGAATCAAAATCGTTAATAACGTTGTCCACGTGACTGACGGTATGACGACATGGCACATTAAATTGGTAATTAGATGCCAAGTCAACGCCATGTGTGCAAATGAGTGACTCACTGAATTTTGTTCCATGTCACAGATTACTCACCGAACTTTATTCTATGTCACGGTTTACTCACCGAACTTCCAAAATTGTCTCGTTGGCCACCAAACATCACTCCGTCCAACTCCACCACTCACCCAAATTAAAATTGAATTTTTTAGTAGATTGTGATAAAAGTTTTCGAAATATACAATTGAAAAATTGCGGAACCCATGAAAGATGTTATTGATATTGATTGTTTGATTTTGACTTATATTAAAATCCGATTAAAATATATACCAAGCATGCCATAAATATAAGTTACAAATATAATAATGAGATTAAATTTTGTAATAAATCTGAAAATTAAAATCAAAAATGAAAATTAAAAAAGAAAACTGAAAACTAAAATTTAAATTGCTAATTTGAAAGTTTTTAAAACTTATTCTTAGGTAATTGATATTCTTGATTTGGGGCTTAGGGTTTTGAATGTCCCTGGAAGTAGATTTGAGAAATTTCTTATTTAACTTTTCTCTGGTTTGTTCAAAGAAATGGTTAGAGACGCATTTTGTTCTATTTACTCAAAGCGAGATTCAATTATATTATGAAAGGTGTGTTTTACAGTGATGATTTTGAGCTGACTTGGCAATTAAATTCAAATTTGAAAGTATTTAACTGGCCAACTCAACTTTCGTCATCCAGGTATGTTGGAAATAAATCCCACATCGCATGTGGACAACTTATAAACAATGTGGCAAACCTCTCTTACTGAACCGGTTTTGCGAGATGAGTTAGGCCCATAAATTTCTACATGGTATCAGAGCCTACCACATGATTGATGTGGGCCCACACTACTTACCCCGTGACAAGGACCAGAAAAATTACTGGCCTGCACGTGAGGGAGGGTATTGGAAATAAATTCCACATCGTCTGTGGACAATGTCTTGGGCCAGTTTATAAATAATGCGACAAACCTCTTTTGCTGAATCGGTTTTGTGAGATGAGTTAGGCCCATAAATTTCTACATGGTATCAGAGCCTACCACAGGATTGATGTGGGCCCACACTACTTACCCCGTGATAAGGACCAGAAAAAATTACTGGCCTGCACGTGAGGGAGGGTGTTGGAAATAAATCTCATATTGCCTGTGGACAATATCTTGGGCCAGCTTATAAACAATGTGGCAAACCTTTTTTACTGAACCGGTATTGTGAAATGAGTTAGGCCCATAAATTTCTACAAGGTACGGTTGTTCAGTTTTCTTTTTTAATTTTCAGTTTTGATTTTAATTTTCAAATTTATTATAAAATTTAATCTCATTATTATATTTGTAACTTATATTTAGGGCATGTTTGGTACAAATTTTAATCTGATTTCAATATAAGTTAAAGTCAAACAATCAATATCAATAACATCTTTCATGAGTCCCACAACTTTTCAACCACATATTTCAAAAACTTTTATCACAAATTACCAAAAAAATTTAATTTTAATCCCCACGAAACTCCTTAATTTGGGTGAGTGATGGAATTGGACGGAGTGAAGTTTGGTGGCCAACGGGACAATTTTGGAAGTTCGATGAGTAAACCGTGACATAGAACAAAGTTCGATGAGTAATCTGTGATATGGAGCAAAGTTCGGTGAGTAACTCATTTGCACACATGGCGTTGACGTGGCATCTAATTAGCAATTTAATGTGCCACGTCATCATACCGTCAGCCACGTGGACAACGTTATTAACGGTTTTGATCTAGTGGCCAACAGAGTGGGACAGTTTAAAGTTGAGGGGCCAGTGTGATAAGTTTTAAAGGTGGGTGAGTAAACCGTGACACGTATGAAAGTTCAGTGGTTAATGAAACATTGAACTCCCTAAGAGGTCAAACCTAAGAACAGACCTGTTTAACTGCTACCACACGATATTAAAGCAGAACCTAAAAGGAAACAAATTCTGCTAGATGATGAATAATTTTGGGTACCTAAGTTATCATTGTTAATCCTTTGAAGGTTCTTGGATTGCACGTTATCGGGATAAATTATATGCAGCCAAGATAAAAAGATCGATCAATTAAACTAACGACATGACAAAGCAATGTCAATGTTGGCAAACTGTCTCCTATCCGGGGCTTTGCGACGTGGGGCATCATAAATATTGGTGTTGATGGGGGGCTAATAGCGATACCATACCACTGTGGGACCAAGCCATGTTCCGGACTCTTAAAAACTAGTCTAAGCAAACAATTCCAGGTTCCATTAACAGGGATCTGGACTGACCTACCTCCAACAACTTCTTGGATGGGCCATATTAAAAACATCAAATACAATTTTATAATTTGTGTACTAAAATCTGAGGAACTTGCACATGCATTTATGTTTAAAGGATCATAGACTTTAAGATTAAAAAACCAAGAAACAAGCTAAGCTGCCTATCCTTTTCTTTTCTATTATGACCAAATATCCTCGATCCAAATTTCGGTAACTTCAAAACTTCCGGTGTTTCAGTGTCGGTAATCGGACAACTTTTCACGATTATCGCTTAGTTAATATTCTCTCCTTTAAACTCAGACAACCTTACTGAAAAACCTCGAGGATCCGAAAAACATTTGACTATCTGCGAAGTGTATTTAAACTTTGTTCTGTGTATGTGGCCAAAACATGGTAATTTGAACCGTGCACTTTTTCCCTTCCTGCTACCAAACCCCACAACAAAAAGCTAAAGTGCAGATAAGAGAAGAACATCAGCCAACCAGAGACAATGAACTTGACATTAATTTCTCCATAATGAAATTTGAGTACAAATTAAAATCCAAATTTTAATCTAACTCAAATACAGCAACTAATTTTAACACATTTTATGGGACACAGGACAATACTTTTATCAAAATCAGCTAAAATTTTGATTTTAATCGCCATTAAACTTGGGCAGAAGCAATGAGAATAATAGAATAAAATATTGAAAATTTGTGAATGGATTTAAACCATATAATTAAATTTATCATTGCATAATTTGGGGAAAAAGCCAAATATAAACGTATAAAATTGTATTAAAAGCACTCACTTTAGATGATTGATGGCCAAGTTTTGCATTGAAGCCGCTCATATGGGTCTGAGACTCAATGTCGAGGCGACTCCGGCCTTCAGCCGCCGGCGAGGTGGCTCTAAGGAACTTTTCAAAGATGGCCATAACAAGAAACATACAAATAAGAATGGCAGTGGCAACAAACCCAAAAGAAACTGCATTTACAGAGCTATCAAAGTGCGTCCAGTGGTCATCTTTCTGTATGTAGAGCGATGGCGCTCCACTAGGTGTTGGTGGCCAACCACCCCACCCCTCTTCTTCTCCTCCTCCGCCCATTTGTCTTTTTTTTCTTTATCAACTCAAAAAATTGAGCTTCAATGGCATACAAGTACAATGATAATGCCTTGTAAATTCACCCAAAAGTCTTGAATCAAGACAGTTAGTGGCAGTTGGAGGAGGGTGAAAAACACAAAATACTTTTTCAAGGCTTTTAAGCCATTGTTACGAAAGCAAGCATGTAGTACTGTTCAATGCTTAAGATTCTCTGTGTTGAGAAATAAGAAAGAAAGAGGATGACCGGAGGTTGAAAACGTGTTAAGGTTTGGGATTTGGAAAGGCTGATTTTTTATTTTATTTTGCAACCGACTTGGAAATAGCACCACAAAACTGACATGCGATTAGGCCTTTTATTTATACCATTTTCATCTTAATTTTACGTGTTTATTTTGAAGATATTATTTAAATCAAAAAAGATTTTTTGGATAACACCGCATGAAAAAGTAGGAAAAATTATAAATTTACATATAAAATTATTTTAATAAAAAATATATATATAATTTTAAAATAAATTATGTCGCTAAATTTAATTTATTTGAGATTCATTCATAATCTTTATAAAATATTTCATTCAACGATCGATCCAATTGACGTCTTTCTAAAATTGAACATTCTCCATATTTGTGTGCAACTCATAGGATTTAACTTAAAATCGTCACCGTTGGATGAATCGGCACACAGATAAGTATGATTTTCAGTTAAACCACTAGAAATAAAGGGTCTAAAGAGTCGGAAGTACATTTCGGATGAAACCACACCATGAAAACAAAGCATGTCTCAAATTAATCCACACACCTCATTAATAAATAGAAATGAAAAAAATAACGTGACATCTTTAGATCAAATAAGAGAAATAAGTGGTATGATTTTACTGAAATCTAAATACAATAAGGATGTAGCTTTGCTAAAATTTTAGCACGATTAGTATAAAGAAATTCTCGATAGCTTGATCTTTCTTGTTGGACTTTTGCCCTTTTATATAAGCCATAAGACCGCAATTTGCCGTCATAGTCATGTCAAACTACATTATAGGCTTGTGTGTCATCGTCATTTTTTGAGAGATTTGATTGGTTGGAGAATTTGGCGACGACGAGTCGTCATGATATATCGATCGTAGCTCTGCACTTTAGGTCGTCATTACTTTTATTTTATTGGTTGTTGCGGGTTGTGTTGCCACTCTTGGGGAACACCTTGTTAGTCGCATTACGATAATGTTTCCACATGATATCTTGCATGGTTCAACTGACATTTCGTGTTGTTATGTTTGGTCTCAATGAAAAAGACTCGTTTGACCAGGTTAAGATGGACCCTCAATTGATCCAAAAGGGATTTTCAAATCGATACCAACAAATACTTAAAAAATTTGACTTCATAGTTTACATTAGCAAAAACACATTTTTTTGTGAACAAAGTAGAATAATGAATAAATAACTTAATTTTTAGGTTCTATTCACTTCCACACCAATGCTAGAAGCACTATTTATTCGATGGATCCCGCCAGCTTCCATTTTTGTTTTTTATCTCTGCAATAATTTTTATGGGTCCAGCCGAGCCCAGTAGTTGCTCTTTATATACACACCAGTACAGTAGTACTACCGTGTTGGATAAGTTGAATGGATTAAAAGTAGAAATTAAAGCTTAAACCTTCATTTTCTTCTGGGAAATTAGTATGAAATTCAACCAGAATTAAATAAAATGGAAAATTCTATCTTTGTAAATCACTGTAGACCAATATTCCAATTAAATTTTCTAATGGAGCCTAAGATTGAGGGGCAAAGAATCCGAAGCTCAAAGTTTGAGAAAGCAGTCAATGAAGGAAGTTTGTCATCTGCCGAAACATGCAACATTTTGTGGTCCCAACTAATAAAAGAGGTTGTCCATTTTGCTTTTCCAAGAGGACTTTTTCCTTTTTTAAAGAAAACCTTACAGATAATGAAAAATAATCTCCTCATTTGTTTAATTTTAATTTAATATTATCTTCTCTCTCCATCTCATTGCTCTTGTTCCCCTCACTCCCCAATCCCCATTCTCCGTGTTGTTGGTCCCAGTCTTATAGGTCTCTAATTTCCTTTGTCATTCTATGCCTTGAATTGTACCGGTCACTCTTGAGCTAACGTGATCTACTTTACATGTCTAAGATTAGTCGAGTGTGGTGTAGTTTGTCATCACAACTAGGAGAAATCTATCTGGAATTTTAGCAAATTTCGTCACTTTTCCTAAATTATATTGTAGAGTCTCGAGTCCAGTGTAGAGATTAGAATTTTGCGATATGTGTAACAAATGCCTAGGTGAAGGGTTTTCAATTATCATTGAATCGAACTCAACATCTCGTAGGACTTTGCGATATGCAATTTAAAATGTGTTCGCTGAAAAGTGTAAAAATCAGCAACAAATATTAGGTCTCGCTCTTTCTCATTGTTTTTTCTTAACAAAATTGGAGACCTCCTTGACCCACACATCTAGGATAGACCATGTGCCATAAAGCCAAGTTAATTGATGAGAGGCTCAATCAATTATGCGACTTAAATTTAAAAAATTCCAATTATCCAAATACAAGCAACTTGGGGGAGATTTACCAAAATGTCTAAACCCCTACGTTAGAACTTGATCGAAACGAGTTGGTCAACCCAAGAAGCAAGAACTTGATAAACTATAGATAAAAAATTGAAAACATAGAGCCCAATAGATTAAACCAGAACCAACTCATCTCTAAAATTGCTAAGTTCGCAAGTATAAATGATCCCTTCGAGGTTAAAGAGACAACTGACATGACAATATTTTAAAGTATTTCAGCCATTTTCGTTACTTTTTTTAAATATTGGATTTTTTGTTATTTAAATTGCGTATCTTCGCCACTTGTTGTTATTTATCATTCAATGAATGACTGTGCGATGGTTGGCTGTTCACGAACTAGTTGTACCTAACCTTTCGTTTTGGGGTCAAATAGGTTTTTTTCTTCGTATACCTTGCCTAGACTTATTGAAGCACAAAGGAATGGTCTTCTTTTTCTGATTTCTAGAATTTCGCTGTGTATGTTTTTACGTGTGTGTATATTACTTTAGCCCCTGTTTGACACCCATTTTTTATCTCATTCTCATTCTCATTTTTCTACAGTGCTCATTTCTAACCACACATTTTTCAAATAAAATAATATTACACATAAACCAAAAAATTCTTCTTACTTTTTAACCACACATTCTTCCATCAATCACTATTCCAAATCAAATTCTTCCATAAAACGGGTGTCAAACAAGGGCTATATTTGGAAGTCAATGTTTTTTAATGTATTAGAATACAAATAATACAAAATAATGGGTGTCAAACAGGGGTTTAAATTATTGATATGAGTATGTTTATAAATTAGTGGTAAATGTCTTATTTTGTAGCCCCAAACAACAATGATTCTAATCCCCGTTTCAGTTTTAACTTTTTATTTTCTTTGAAAACCCTGTTAGTCTTAACCTATTGGGAATAAAAGAAGTCTCATATCAGCTAAACATGAGAAATATGATGAGTTTATAAGTGTATGACAATACTCCATTGGTATGAGGCACAGAGATGTAGCCAGAATTTCAATCTTGTGGGCGACAATACGGGGGGTGGAGGGGTGTCCCGGTGGTTCAGGGGCGGAACCCCCGAAATTTCTTTTTAATTAAGAGAATTGAAAACAACGATTTTTGAATACCAAAACAGGTAAGTTAGATTGACGACAAAAAGACAATCAGTTTGTCGATACAAAAATAATATATCCATTCATGTGTTTAACGCTATGCAAATTAAAAACATGAACGATGGATGGACATCAAAATGACAAAAAGTAAACTGTCTATCTATATAACAGATGGTAGAGATGGCCTGGACATCTGAAATTGGTCTCTCCTTGTCATCATCACTTCAAACTCGTCAATAAGAGAATCTAATAGAAAAGTATCAACAATCTCCTTCTATATATACACAAACATTGTACTCGAGAAAAATCATCTTCCATTCTATTAGGCAACCTTATCTTAATGACACTCATAGCTGAAAATACACGTTCTGTAGTTGCTTTTGGGTAATTGATTCATAAATGGTTCATTTGCTTTTGGATTGGATTTGTGCTATTTATTTATTTAAGTAACTATTGGATCTTTTGTTTAGGTCTAAGATTTTTGTATGATTAAATTTTAAAGTGTAATTAGGAATAGTGGACCAGCGAACAATGTTGGGCCTCCTATCTTCGTCTTTGATGAGGCCTTTTGGGTAATATCCAAAAGCAAATTCATGAGGGTTTAGGCCCAAATCGAACAATATCATATCAATGTGGAGTTTGACGGGTCCTAACAATTGGTATCAGAGTCCAGGGCCCAAAAACTTAGCCGGAGGAACGCAGCAAAAAGCGTGGTGGAGGTCTCCCTCTAATTAGCCTTGCATCTGGCTATAAATTATTAGCGTTTGAGGTGCCTTGTGTCGAAAGTCTTCCGACATAAAAATATGGTAGTTAGGCGGTGGGTCCCGTTTGGTCGAGGGCAGCAACAATAACAGCGGTACAAGATGATTGGCTGATGTATTATCGTTTGAGAGGAGGCGACAATAATGTCTTCATTCGTTTGAGAGGAGGATTGCTGAGAATAAAAGAAGTTCCACATTGGCTAGACATGAGAAATATGATGAGTTTATAAGTGTAGAACAATACTTCATTGGTATGAAGCATTTTGGATAGTATCCAAAAGCAAATTCGTGAGGGCTCATGCCCCAAAGCGATCAATATCATACCAATGTGGAGTTCGACGGATCCTAACATAACCTTTTAGCACTTATAGAAGATAAAATCGAATTTTTGAGTCTCCAACCTTTAATTATTATTTGCATAGAAACTTTTATTATAAATATATATAATTTCATTCAACTTATTTATTTTTTCTGTCCTCTCAACTCAATCGGGACTTCATCGCTAAATCCATTCGTGCTAAAAGAATATTTTGCCCCTATTTGATGACCATTATTTTGAGAAGTGAAGTTTTGAATAGTAATTTTTCAAATAATACGGAAAAATGATTGTGAAACTTTGCTTCCTACTAACGGACGCTCCATTGTCCACGACCACGTGCTCGGTCTTCACGGTGGTATCCACAATGCTAGCCTCCCACACGTGCCAGCCAAGATATTCCACATCATCATTTGCCAGACAACATTAGCTGTATTTGCTTAACCATTATTTAATCCTCATTTTTTTCATAAAAATACTTTTTCTCGTCTTTTCAATTATACATTCTTTAATAAAATAATATTACGTTCAATCCAAAAAAAATTACACACTTTTAACTATACATTCTACATTAATTCACTATCACAAAAGTATTCTCCATCGAAAATGGGGCTCTAATGGGATTTTATCAAGGGCATATTAGTAGTTTCATATCTCCTACCCGACACAGCAATACGCAAAATGTCGCCCATTTCAGATTTCCAAAAACAAATGGGACAGAAATTCCTCGGGATTGTCCCCCAAATATTGGCCACCGTTTACAATCTCCACCGTTCGATCAACTTCATTCAGGTCAATGATCCCACAAATCCCTAAAATGGTACTTGCGCATGCGCATGGGTAGAAATGCACGTGACTTTGCTTGTGTGAGTGTATAAAACTTTCTTGACTGGACCGGTGCGTGTGTTTTGGGGCCTGGAGTGGGGGTTGGGAGGAGGATGGGGTTCGGAGTACAGTAGTTATACTGTAGAGGTAATAAAAACTCACGTGGAGGGGTTTCGTTTTGGTTTGATTGGTCAAACCGAATTTGTGCTTTCTTTGCTTTTTTTATTTGTACAATAATTATTGACATCTTTATTGAAGTGCAAAAGTTTGCGATATTGATTATTTTAAGTATTGTTAAAATCAATGACAAAAATATTGATCACCTCACCCGCTATCAACCAAATTATACATCTAGGTTCTGTTTGTTGCCCATTTTTTAACTGTAGAAAATGAATTTTGTGATCATTGGAGCACCAATTTCAAGAATAAAGTGAGATGGAAGTCAACAATTCCGACAAAATGGAGCCCTACAACAGTAGTATTTTTTCTAAAAATGGAGAAAAAATGAGAAACAAACAGAAGCCCAGTAAAATTGGAATGATAGTGTGTGTACAGGTTGAAAGGTTATTCCGCTTTTACAGGAAAATTTTGTCAAGGCGGAGTACATGGAATAATACCAATGTTCAATGAAATAATACCAAGTGTCCACCCGTGAGCCAATCTAACAAAATTGCCTGGACACAGCACTGTTCAAAGGTTGAATTTGACACATAATACCAAGCGTCCACCTGTAAATTGCATGGACACGGCACTGTTCAAAGGTTGAATTTGACACACATGTTTCTTTTGATAGTTGTTTTTTCAACCCCACTACATGTTGAACACTTAGTGTGTACAATAGTATGGTCCAATTTCAATCATCTCATTTAAAATTAATTCATATTCTGTGAAGATGCTAAACTTCTCAAGACATTCTAACGTGTAATTTAAAATATATATATATTGATTTATAATAAAAAAATTAAATATTAATTTCGAGTAAAAGGATGTATATTTAAAAAATATAAAAGAAAATAAATGAAAAATATTGATTTTTAATGAAAAACAAGTATTTTAAAAAAAAGTATAAAAAGGGATATTTTAAGTTTTTTTTTTTTTTTTTAAATTATGGTATTTGTAAAGCTATTGCAAAATAATATTCTGAAGTTGTTGGGCTATACTACTGTTTATGGGCCGTTGTAACGATAAAATGAACCTAGTTGGGGTGTGGGCGTAGGCAAAATCCCGTATCAAGACACTGGGCAAGGCCCATATTGTGCTCTCCTCATTCAGCCCAGTTTGAGATTGGGCAAGCACACTGTACACGTATAATCTTGTGGAAATTACATGGAGCCTTACTTTTGGAGATCTAAATTCCAAATTCAGATTTTCCCTTTCCGTGGTTAACTTCAACTCTTTCGCTAGCTGTTGATTCATTGATCATAATTATTTCTTGGGCTCTTAGAATTGCTGAAACTTCAGAATTGATCTTGAGTTTTGGAAGACCCTTTTTCTTGTAAATGAATTTTGGGATTTTTTATTTTTCAAAACAATTTTTGAAAATGGCAAAAAGAACACGTTTTTAACAATCTCAAAATAGACACTCAAAACACAAAATTCAAAATGAATTCAAAACTAAAAATACAAAACTGAAATACAAAGAAAACAGCCCATAATTTTTCCTTCTATTTTAACCACACATTTTTCATCAATCTACTATTTCAAAATACATTCTTTCAAAATAATGTGGCTCAAACACCTTCAAATTATCCTAAAAGAAGTCAACCGTGTCACCAGACAAATTAATACCCCACTTTTGAGGGTATGAGAAAGAAATATAACAACTAGAGTTACTGGATCCAAGAGTCGATATTTTTTGCCCGAACATTCGATATATGTATCAAAATTGAATCCACGCATTTTTTAGACTGCCCCTTTAGCCTATGAGTAGCTAGCGCTAGCAGTAACTTTCAACATCACCTAAAAAATTACCAAAAAGGAAGTGGGGGGAGAATCTAAGGCCCTGTTTGTTTCTGATTCTCAAATCAATTCTCAAATCAATTCTCATTTTCAACCACACATTCTTCAATAAAATAATATTTTCCATCACATCAGTACTTTTTTCTTCTTTTTCAACCACACATTTCACATCATATCACTATTCAAAATCAATTCTTCCCCCAAAAATCACTACCAAACAGGCTCTAAATTAGATACTTCGGTCTTATCGATTTTCACTACATTGGTCTTATCGAACAAAAAGGCATTCGGCCAGTAACATACACTCGTAAATTTGGAATTGTATTTTATAAGATTATAAGTACATAATTTGTAATGGTCAAGGATCTTGTGAATCTACTTTTCAGTTTTCAATTTTTGTACAAATCAATCAATGAGACTAATCCACCAATACCAAAATTTGATTGTATGGCAAAGTATAGACACGAAACAAAAATTACCAATCTCTATGAATGCATTTTCCGTGAAATGACTGTCTTATCCTATAATTGTACTTTAATGCATGTGCCATGTACCTGGAATGCCTATGCTAGGTTGTCTATACACTTCAAAAATAAAGTTTTCAAAAACCTGTCACAAAAAGGAAAAGAAAATTAAGATATCGTTATAATTTATATTCATCGTATCAATTGTTCATATTATTTCATTTTTGGCATTTGAGACATAATTTGATCTTTCTTTGCGAAAACCATTCCAATCATCTCATCCATTCCATTTGCTCCGTCAATTGATAGTTTCATACCTTAATAAAAATTCGAGATTTGCTACTCAACACAAACCTTGAATTTGTTTTGGCGAGTTTGTTAGGTAAACCTCGAATTTGTTGGACAAATCTCAAGTTGATAAAATGTTTGGTAGATATTAAAATCAAATTGTAAGTGTCGTGATTAGTACGTGCTTGGTCGTACTTGACTAGATGAAAAGACTAGATTAATTCTACGATATAAAATGTATTGTTAGATATATGAACTAAGTCTCTCTACTTCAATCAATCTATTAATTAGATATCGAATGCAAGTTAGTTCAAGATGATTTTGCAGCACAACAAAATTTCAAATAACATCCGTAATATCTTTTGTTATGAAAAATGAGAATGTGAAAGGAGCAGAAGGCGATCAACTTAAAAAAATCCACTCGACTAACTGTACCCTTCTATAAAATTGTTGGTCCGAAGAAATAAGGGGAGTCGACCGGCCGAGCCACTCATGCCCGACTGAAAAATTGGACCCTGGTCTGGGTTCAATGTAATAGTCGCGGCCGTACGAACGTTTTCTCAATTTTTCTTTTTGAAACATTAACAAAAATTGAATACAAGGTTTTGGGAGTACAGACCCTAACAACGAAAGATCATCAGAAATTTTGTCTGGGCCAAGAAAAAAAAAGGAGGTGTAGCCGTGTAGAGTGGGACAAAACAGAATTTAATGAGAACATATAAAGGCCAAAATAGCTTTTGCAGAAAGAAACAAATAACTATTTAGTATTTTCTTACTCCTCCTTGTACCACTTTTTATAGCAGACAGTGGAGTTATTTACAAAAAGGGTTTCCTTGAATTGATGGATCGTAGAGAGATTCGTGGTGAATTAAAAAATTGAAATTTTGATACGAGAGTGAATGTTGGGGGGTCGGTTCGAATATTTTAAAAGTTTAAATTATTCATTAATTTCGAGTATTTCATAAATGTAACGTAATTTTTGGAATCCTAGCAATTATTTTCGAAGAAAAACAATAACAGCTAAACAAAGTGAGCAATTTTTTACATTAGTTCTTCAAGTAGTCACAGTTTTGAAAAGAAAAGGTAAAGAAAAAGAATTTATATATGGACTCCCCAGTGATTTTCAAAAGTTTCATTTTCAGCAAGTTCGTGAAAGACAGTGGTGGTGTTGTGGTGGTCCGTCGTGGGGTGGGTGGCGATGTGAATTGGATTTGGGGTTATGCTATAGTTTGGTGTTTGTGACATTTGATTTTGAATTAGACTTTTAAATTGATCGGAGTAGTAGGTGGGTGAATAAAACTATAAAAGCGAAAAGAATAGAAACTTTAAAAAATGAAAATTCAATTCCTAATTAGGTTAGGATACGGGTATTTCAAGATCTGAAATACTAATTAAACTTCAGATATTTCGTAAATAGAATCATTCGATATCATATAATTTTTGAAACTGATTTACGTGTTCGAGAGAATATAATTGAAAGTAATTTTGAAAAGAAGTAATTTTTGTAATCATGGGAGTGTAACAGCGAGGGACAACTAATTTGCTTATTTACCGCCGAGGATGTACTATTTGTTATATTTTGTTACTGTATAAAAAATTTGACAGTGATACGACAATGGAGTGCGCACTGGGCTACTGCTTTCTCTCTCTAGATCATGGAATTTAAGTCTCCCGAGGAAAGAAAAAGTGTAGAAGAACTTCTAAGAGGCCAAAGGGATTTCCATTTTCCTACTGAAAAAGGTGAAACCGCTGGTTTCTTTTATTCTATAAAGGCCCTTGTTCTGGTAATTCATTCTGATTGAATTTCACCTTTGAATGTAGAGAAATTTCTTTTCTTGATCTCTTCATACTCAAGAAGATCACATTTCAAAGATTTTTCATGGATTTTGTAACGAGGGTTCACAACTACAGCAAGAAGCAATGCAGAAGCCTCTCCAAGAAAATGGGGGCAGTGATGAAGAAGGTAGTTAAGAAGGGACACAAACACCAATTTATTTTCCAGTATGATCCTTCAAGTTATGCCCTCAACTTCGACGATGGTATTCAAGAATTGGGCGAAAGATCAACAGTTTCTTACTCAAAGAAGACAGTTACATGGATTTTTGTTATCTGCCCTAAAGTGTAGCTTTTGTTTTTCGATCTCAAGCACGACCTCTTGTTCTTCACCTCATTGCCAATGCTATTGAAGTTCTTGTTTTGAGTTTCAAATAAGATTTTTTTGATATTATGTTCTAATCATAAACCAAAAATTCCATTGATTATTGGCGTCAGTAGCACCTTGCGCTTAATAGTAAAACGATGATAGGTTTATAAGAGAAAAGTAGGATGAAATAAATAAACTTGTGATTTATTATACATCGGAAACCAAATAATTCCATAATCCAAATAATCTAACGTTTGCATTTACCTTTCTGAGCAGAGAAGTTGAGCAACCTAGGCGGCAAAAAATTTCGTTTAAAAACAGCATAGCTAAATGACTAATCACAATGTCTTCAACATAACAATACAGGGTTTTTGAGCTTTTCATCGTCCCATTCAACTGGAAGTACGAGGTACAGTTCGCGGCTTTGAAACGGCGGGATCTTCAAGTGCAGTTGTACATAAATCACTTATTCGAGGATAAGCAGCTTTCTCATCAAGTTGGTTTTGTGCCCATATCAGCATCTTCAATAAGCTTGGAAGCTTTGGATCTGTGAACGTCATAAACACCAATGGTTTTTTTTTAGGTTTTTCCATTTGTACCGAAAATGGATGACAACGAATTTGACAATCTCTCACATGTGTGCGGACCCTCGTGAATAAAAAATTCCAAAAAAATGTGGGTCCTCCCCCTTATTGTGAGTGTTCAGTCAAAGTATTTGTCAACAATTTCCGATAAGTGTAACATTGCTCTTTTTTTTTTCGTAAGACTAGATTATAGAGTACTTGATAGCACTAAGAAGTAAATAACATTAGAATCTAATATATTGGGCTGTCTAATCATGTCCACTACTGGATAGCAAACAAGCCCAATTGTGAAGTTAGAAATTTCAAGTGGTAAGAAATTTATTTTGAAAACTTCGCAAACAAGGCAATAAGTAGCACGCAGGCACACCGTTTCAGAAATACATTTTCTTGGAGATGTATGACAATGTCGTACAATAGTTCTTCTAGCGATTGCAAAGAAAGATGAGATACATATACACCTTGAACATGTTGCCATTTCCTTCTCTCTCTTGGAAACAATTGTATTCTACACACCGTGCTCAAAAGAGCATAAAATGGGGTAACTAGGCCAGCGACAAATTTCGAAAATATCCTCACTTATGGCATTAGTTTCGCTGCCCCTAAATTCAGGCCTGCATCTGCGAAAAAAGTCTTCTAAGCAAAGTAGTATGACATCTATGACAGTTTTGACAGGTTTCTTGTAAAAAATTGATTGTATTTTTTGTGTAACAGTGTAAGTTATGCAACATAATAAATTATAATCCAAAATCACATAAAATGCAATCCAAGGACCATATATAATCAAAATTTCAAATAATATAAATAAACAATAAAACAAAATTATTTATGCAGCACGGTCATCATGTGTGTAAGCACCTCCCAATGAGGGTAATAGCTGACTACACATCTTCCAACAATTGGAATTTCCAAGCAAGCAAGTAAATTGAAGCTCAGGAAACACTCTCTACTATCATATTGATCCCAGAAACATCTTCATTATGACGGCACATCTCTAAAGTATATAAAACCACCACACAGCAAATATTGTATTGAAACATCAGTCAAGCAGCACTGAGAAACCATGCCAGCCACAAGATTGCAAATGGATTTTTAAGTTAAGGGAATAGAAAATATATCTATAAAGTAAGGGATTATAGGTTTTTCTTGCTTTCAATCAGTTAAATGGAAGTAAGTGTATGGGAATTGTAGGACTAATCAAGTTTCAAGCGGATTAAAGTTTGAGATTCTCTTGTTAAGAGGCAAATTGTATTGAGAATCTTTCCAATTTTTTGTGGCTGGTAAGGATGGCTGCATTCACCTCACTTCGTTCCCTGTGATACATCAAGCAGCTCACCGACTGGACATCTGGTAACATATTTAAAAGCAAGCATCGCAACAGTCCTCTCCAATTCTTCTAAAAAAGCTTTGCTGAAATCGTGATAACTGTCAATAGTAGAAACAAAAATTGAGACGTAACAAGTCCAAGAGCTTTCTTTCAATGAACAATGCTACATTTACAGTCCCCCTTCACAGCCTCTGTTGGGGCAAACAAGTCCCACATCGGTTGTGGGAAGAAAACAAATCCACCATATAACCCAAGTGGGCTACTCCACCCATTACCAATTGGTTTTGGGATGGAATCTCACTTGGACCTCGTGGAGTGGGGCTTGGCCTTGGGAAATTGCTCTGAATAATTCCCTAACAGCAGTATCAGAGCCCAGGGTCGGAGAAACGTAGTAGAAAGCGTGGTGGNTGATAGATCCATGGTAACGTAGTGGGTGCAGGCGACGATGAATTATCTCGATGAGTGGTGATTTACCTTGTGAGCCTTGATTAGTCTAACGGACTAAGATTGCATTGAGTAGGCATAAAGACATTCAAGAAGCAAAAAGAAAAATTACATTTTCCTCTCTTCTTGGAGCAAGTTCCTCTTGAGCAAATTCCAATGCCTCGTCTACCTTACCATTCCTTATTAATTCTATCAAACTTTGCTGTTGGAGATGGAAAAAGAGTTGGGGATGTGTATCTAGTATCTGCATTCAAAACTTTCAGATAACATCACAATGGAATTAAGTTGGATAGCTTCCCAAACAATGCCAATGGAGTAATTTTTCAACTTCAAGTTCAAATAGTTACTTTTTCTAGTGATAGTTCTGAATAAAAACACGAGAGGGGGACTATTGAACCTCGGGATTCAAATCATTAATTTTTTCAATTGCATCCTCCACATGACCAGACTGAACTGCCTTCTTAACCGCAATACGATCTGTGATAGTTTCAAGAT